AATTATTATGGAAGACATCGTCGGGTTTTGAATAAGAATATAGAATAAGAAATTGATGTTGCATCAAGATCTTCTCTCCCTTTCAATTTATGTTTCAACCCTTGAATTGCTTGTTGTTTTCTCCCTTTGAATTCTTCTCTTTAATCTCCAAGTGCGTCTCTTGCATCTCAATGTGTGAATCTCCTTCAAATGTGTGAAAAAATTTTATTTATAGGTGCCTCCTCGTGTATGTAGAAAGTAGGGTCTTTATAGACTTCAAAACGGGCCAAAACACACCATAGATGCACTCAGGTGGCGCCATCTTTGGATGAAAAATTCTGGCTGCGTTTCTTTCAGTGTTTTTATCATAACTTTTTCTCCCAATGTTCGATTGAAGCTATTCAAGACATGTTGGAAAGCTAACTCAAAGAAATCCACCTCTGATTTAGACATCATTCTCAAATTCGATCATTTGCTATGTCAAAAAGGGTCTCAATATGAGGCTGAAATTAATGCATAACTTTTTCCGGTTGAAAATTGATGTGTGATCATACTTTGATTATGTTTCATCCCTTTGTTGTCTTTTATTATTCAATCTACTCCAAGCACTCTTGAATCTTCATCATGAGGTCCAACGCAATTTTTGAGTATTTACACTTTAGTCCCTAAACTTTGGATCTCTTACAACTTAGCCATTTTCTCCCATTTGCCCACTTTTACTTCTTCCAATTTCTTGTACCATCATTGAATTTTATATATTCAACATCAAACACAACAATTTTAGACCATAATTCATCCGAGAAGCAACTAATTATCATCATTTTAAAGGATTGAGTAAGTGTATATAATACACTTATCAAAGTACAAGTTCGAAAATTATTGAAACTCCTAAATAGTTTTCAAATTGCAACTTTTGCATATATTTTATAGCTACGAAAGCATTATATTTGATATGCTTTTGGTTCCATTAATTGTGAGATTTGGTAGTTTGTGTTGTACAAGTGCCTGGAACAAATTTATCGGCATGTCAATAAATCTAATATATCATATACCTTTTGTTCCAAGCTAATTTATTATCATTTCATGATAAATTATCTTTTGGCATAGTATGTGGTTGTTTTTAAAGTGTTAATTGTCTCTTTGTGTTATATCAATACAAAATTATTTAGACTTGCATATTGTGAGAAAGTGAAACAAATACTCACTACAAGAAATATCACCTTGAAATGTATCGTCTTTTGCTGAAATACGATTATTTTCAGGGACTTTTATCAACTCTCCACCATTGACATCTATGTTACTTTCAGCTTCATAATCAAACCTACACAATTTATAGCTGAAATGCAATTATTTTGAAGGACTTTTATCAACTCTCCAACATTGATATCTATGTTACTTTCAGCTTCATCATCAGACCTACACAATTTATAGCTGAAATGCAATTATTTTCAAGGACTTTTATCAACTCTCCAACATTGATATCTATGTTACTTTCAGCTTCATCATCAGACCTACACAATTCATCTTATTCTCACCATTGCTATTAACAATAATCCACCTATCAAATAATTAGACATCAACTGCGTCTTTCTCCAAGGTACTCTCTTCGACAAGGTCTATATGAGTTAACTTCCTGATTTTGTTGATATCTCTTATCCTCGTCATATCTTCCATCTAAAGAAGTCTATTATGGTCTTAAACAATAAACCCCTTAATTTTATTGTTCATGGACGAGGCATAATTTATCAAGACTCCTTTTAATCGCTTTTCAGTCAAAGAATTGGATTTTCTTCATTATTTTCTTGGTATCGAGGTCCTTCCTAATCCGTCCTCTATTATCATTACAAGACACAAATAAATCTAGGATCCACTTCATCACACTAGAATGGTTGGCACGAAGGAGTGTACTGTTCCATGTCCACTACTATTTCTCTTACTTTTCCTTTGGCTTTTCCCATTTCGATGCCTCTTTATCGCCAAAAAATTGGTTCTCTATAACGTCTCTCTCATCCATCGTGGCTTTTTTAAGGTAAATTTGTGTTCTTTACTTCTCAGCATTTTCTGATGCTAAATGGGCCGACAACCACGATGATCATGCATACACTTTCAACTTAAATTAATTGTCTATTGAACGCTAGCCTTTTACTTTTTTAAGATCCTCGAGGTTTGAAATACGTTGCAGGAACTTCACATTCTATTACCTTAGTGTCACGTTATTTTTTATGACAACCTCCACGATATATATCTATATGTCAATTTGGTGTTCCACTTCCACATGATGCATATAGCAATTGACTATTATTTTGTGTGCAATCGTTTATGTTCTAACAATTTTAGTAGTTATTGCATAGCTTTAAAAGATTACGCAATTACAATTAGCGCAATTTTCTCACTTACGTCCCAAGATCAGAATTTCTAAAGAAAGCTTTATCTTGATAGGACTTGATAACATAATACTAATGACAATATCTAATATTTAGATCGATTTTTAAATTTTTTTATCCTACATATTTTTTTATGGCTTGTTTCATGAAAATAGAAATAAAGAAAAACTTTTGAACATCCAATAATGCGTTTTGAACATATTGTTGAGGTTATGCAATGTAATTTTGAAGAGATTAGCCCCTGTTTGGCCCCCATTACCTGAAAATGGTAATGGGGGGAATAGTATTTTTTAGAAAAATGAGTGGTTGAAAAAAAAGGTAAATTTTTCGATTTACGTGTAATATTATTTTATAAAAGATTGTATGATTGAAAATAGGAGAGAGAAAAATAGAATGTAATGTAATTTAATTTAATGTTAATCAAACAGGGCTAAGAGGGTATGATTGATAATGAAGCAAAAGTTTTAGACAAATAATTACAAATTAAAAAAAGTTGGGATGTGGGGTACCGCGAAAGCGACACTTATCGCGTGTCCCCATGTCAGTCAATCTTATTTGACCAGCCTTATCCTAATTCCTAGCTAAGCATTATTGTTGCTGTTATGACAATTTTTTTTTTTCTTTTTTCTTTTTTAATCTTTATTTTGGCACTATTAGACTATTTTTGAATTTTTCAATTTTAGTAAAAATAAGTAAGGGGGAAATTTTTTTTCTTCCATTTTAGAAAGGAAAATACAAGAAAAAAATGGTCCACTCACATAAATTTTGTAATTTATAATTATTATTTTATGTCAAAATGTAAATTACAAATTATTCTTAATCAGTTCAATTTCTAAAAGGTATTTGAGGCGGATGAATTTCTTTGTCACGCTTTTAACGTGATAACCTTTTCCTGGGCAAACACTCTTTCTATTCTAAGAAATTAAAAAGTTTGGATAATATTTTTCAAATTGTGATAAATTTCATTTACGTGTTGCAAATGAAACAAGCATTAGACAATTTAGGCGATGAACTATTAGTAAATTAACATTAGCATGTTAAAAAGTTTTAAGTTATATTTCTATCTAACATTAAATTTTATTTCCAGTGATTCTTGTGTGAATACAATACTCTAATGGTTGCTAATCAAGTCGACATTTCAACTTAATCAATCAACAACCAAATATTTTGACCTAATTCAATTTGTAATAGCATCTAAAAGTCTTAATTTATGCGTCTTAATCAATCTTTTCACCGAACAATTATAAATTGACGACAAGTGTAAATCTCTCTCGGTCTCTTCAAAACATAGCATTTTAGGTGAGAAGAACAAAAGACGCGTATATATGTAACTTTTAGCCATTGTTTGGTTTTTATTTTATAAAATTCAATTTCAATCAAATATTTTTCATCTAATTTTTTTTTTAACGCGAATCCATAACGTTTTCTTACATTTTAATCACACATTGTTCAAAATAGTCTATTTTTACAAAATTTATTACCAAAAAATTCCTACAAAAAGGATTATTCCCGTACCAAATACACATTTTAAAAGATAACAAGGGGCCCTCTCATGGTCTCTCTTTTCCCTTATTCCTATAGTATATACAGGTTGGCAACAAGACATTCAAATTATTATTCAAATGCCACTATTTCAGACATAAAAGTACTCCTTCGGTTAGGGGGGAAATCGGTTGAAAGTAGAAATATTTATTTCTCATTGTGTCCTATATTATTTGAAGAGAGAAATATTAATTTTATTCACCTCTTGATATAGTGGACGAAAAGTATGTAAAATTAAATATATATTTGAAAATAAAATGAGTAATGCTGTCATATAGATTAGATTATAGAGGGCTAGCGGTGATAAATAGCTGGTGCGGTGAGACTTCAATTACATTTTTTAACAAAGTTAAAATGTATGATTATTTATTGAATAATGTGATAGTGGTCCCACTTCAATATATATTTGCGAACATCACCACTATAGATCAATTATATTATCCAAAATAAGATGTTTCCTTCAAGCTACAAGCAATTGATGGATCTTTGATTAATATTATTTTGTAACACTGATATTTAACACCAATCTAAGTGACAGCATTATTGACATTAATTATAAATTCAATTAAAAAAACTTATAATTTCACTTTCAGTTGAACCTATTATATGATACCACATAGATTGATATTCTAGCACGAGTAGCATTATTCTGAATCTATTCTAATTTTCTCAAGAAAAGTTTGTTAGAGGTCGCTTGCATTTTTGTTTCGTGTTAGGCACCTAACTTTCACTAAAAATATATATATGGCCCTGTTTGAGCATCATTATTTTTTCATTAAAATGAAAAATATGACCGTTATCTATCACATTAAGTCATAATATTTAATTTTTTATCTCATGTGTGAGGCCCATAACGACTATATTTTTCATTCTCATTTTTACAATAATGTGGTTCAAACGGGAGCTATATATATACATATATATATAATCGAAGTCGAAAACATCCGTCCTTCTATTAATTTTAATGACATATATATATTATAATGAGTGAATCCCACAAAAAATATGTAAGAATAAGAATTAAGAGTTAAATATGTCATTAAAATTAATAGAAGGACGAATGTTTTCGACTTCGATTTTCAAATTTTCCTACTACCAAAGTGGCAAAGTCCCTTAAAAACTCAATAATCTCACACTTTCGCTCCTCATTTTCCTTCTCTTCCCATCTCACTTCACTCGACACTCTACTAAAAAAGACCTACAAAGAGAAAGCAGCACACTGCCGACGAGCACGCCCAGAAAAATACAAAAACAAGGGAAACTTTAAAAAATTAAATAAAAATGCGTGTCCTTCTCCTAGTTTTCCTCCTCCTTCAGCTCCACCGTTCCACCGCCGCAAGACCACCGCGTGTGACGGAATCTGCTGCCCTACTCTCCATCAAATCCGCCATCACTGATGACCCACTGTCCGCTTTGTCCTCGTGGAACACTTCCACCAGCCATTGCACTTGGAAAGGCGTCACTTGCGACGCCTCCGGCCGCCATGTCACCGCTGTGGATATATCTAACTTGGGCGTCACGGGAACCCTCTCCTCTGACGTTGGCCACTTACGGTTCCTCCTCAACCTCAACACCGCCAATAATAGCCTCTCTGGCCCCATCCCACCTGAAATCTCTAACATTTGGAACCTCCGCTACCTTAATCTCTCCAACAATATCTTCAACCTTACCTTCCCCAAAGAGCTCTCCCGCTTGAAAAACCTGCAAGTTCTTGACATTTACAACAATAATCTGACAGATGTCCTTCCAACTGAAGTGTATTTACTCACCAATCTTCGCCATTTACATCTTGGAGGAAATTTCTTCTCGGGTCGGATACCGCCAGAGTACGGCACATTCCCTAATCTTGAATATCTCGCAGTTTCCGGCAATGAGCTCACCGGAGAGATTCCAAAAGAACTCGGGAACCTAACTCGGCTTAAGGATCTCTATATTGGGTACTACAACACATTTTCTGGTGGTTTACCCAAAGAAATCGGTAATTTGTCCCAGTTAGTAAGATTTGATGCCGCCAACTGTGCTCTTTCCGGCGAGATTCCGGCGGAAATTGGGAGGTTACAGAATCTAGACACACTATTTCTTCAAGTGAATGTTCTTTCTGGGCCCTTGACTCCCGAGATTGGGGATTTGAAGAACTTGAAATCAATGGATCTGTCGAACAACATGCTTTCCGGTGAAATACCACCGGCATTTGCCGAGCTGAAAAATCTGACTCTCTTAAATCTTTTCAGGAATAAGCTCACCGGGTCCATACCGGAGTTCATCGGGGAGTTACCGGAGCTGGAGGTGTTACAGCTATGGGAAAACAACTTCACTGGCAGTATCCCTCAGAATCTAGGCACCAATGGGAATATACAGGAAGTAGATGTTAGTTCCAACAAATTAACTGGAAATTTGCCACCCAACTTGTGTTCTGGCAATAAGCTTCAAACATTGATTACATTGGGGAACTTCCTGTTTGGTCCGATCCCGGAATCATTGGGTCAGTGCGAGTCACTGAGTCGAGTTCGAATGGGTGAGAACTATCTCAATGGGTCCATTCCAAACGGGCTCTTAAGCTTGCCTAAACTAACTCAGGTTGAGCTTCAAGATAATCTTTTATCTGGTACTTTCCCAGTGACTGAAAAATTGTCCACGAGTCTAGGGCAAATTAGTCTATCTAACAATCATCTCACCGGAGCTTTGCCCCCGAGTATCGGGAACTTTGCCGGTATTCAGAAGCTTTTGCTTGATGGGAACAAGTTTTCTGGGTCGATTCCGGCCGAAATTGGGAAATTGCAGCAGCTGTCAAAGATGGATTTCAGTCACAACAGTTTTTCAGGCCCTATCGCTCCGCAGATAAGTCAGTGTAAGGTCTTGACCTTTGTTGATCTCAGCCGGAACCAACTTTCAGGTGATATACCAACTGAGCTAACTACTATGAGGATTTTGAACTACTTGAATTTATCAAGAAATCATATGGTTGGGAGCATTCCTGCATCAATATCTAGTATGCAAAGTTTGACTGCTGTTGATTTTTCATATAATAATTTGTCTGGTTTGGTTCCTGGAACTGGTCAGTTCAGTTACTTCAACTACACTTCGTTTTTGGGCAACCCGGATCTTTGTGGCCCATATTTGGGACCTTGCAAAGCCGGCATTGTCAATGGAGTCCAAAGGCCGCATGAGAAGGGGACTTTCTCTCCTTCCATGAAGCTTTTGCTTGTAATTGGGTTGCTTGTTTGTTCAATTGTGTTTGCTGTGGCAGCAATTATCAAGGCCCGATCATTGAAAAAGGCTAGCGAAGCCCGAGCCTGGAAGCTTACTGCTTTCCAGCGCTTGGATTTTACTAGTGATGACGTTTTGGATTGCTTGAAAGAGGATAATATTATTGGGAAAGGAGGTGCTGGTATTGTTTACAAGGGGGTAATGTCAAATGGTGAAGAGGTTGCTGTGAAAAGGTTACCGGCAATGAGTCGTGGTTCCTCGCATGATCATGGGTTCAATGCTGAGATACAGACTCTAGGGAGGATTAGGCACAGGCACATTGTTAGATTATTGGGTTTCTGTTCAAATCATGAAACAAATCTTTTGGTTTATGAATACATGCCAAACGGGAGCTTGGGAGAAATGCTTCATAGCAAGAAAGGTGGTCATTTGCATTGGGATACAAGGTATAAGATAGCTATGGAGGCTGCAAAAGGCCTTTGTTATCTTCATCATGATTGCTCACCGTTGATTGTTCATCGTGATGTCAAATCGAACAATATCTTGCTCGATTCAAGCTTTGAGGCTCATGTAGCTGATTTTGGACTAGCCAAGTTCTTGCAAGATTCAGGAACATCAGAGTGCATGTCAGCCATCGCTGGTTCTTATGGGTATATTGCTCCAGGTATGGAACTATAATTCAACTTTTGAAATAGTTAGGAAATATGTGAATCTAATGCTATTTGCTGATAATGACATGTTTGGCATTTGCATTCCTTAATCTGTCAATGATGCTGGAGCCACCAACTCACTTTTGACTGGTAATGATGCTTAATTAGGTAGATATCCATCACTTAATGTCTTTGTTTTGTTGTCTGGATTGACGCGTGTTTAATCTTGTTAAAAACAATAATTATAGAAGTCTTAACTATGTTATTTTGTAACTATCAGTCTCTTTCATAGTCATCCGCATTCATGATTCAACTACCCTTTTATGCTATTTGTGTTTGAACCATCAAGATCAAACTACTCTGTTACCAATCTAGCAAAAAATAAAAATAAAAATTCCTGCCAGTTTCGACTGGAAATTTATTTTATGCTTTTGTTATAGATATGTTTCATCTTGGGATTTCGAAAAATCAAATTAAAAAGTCTCTGTCTTAACGTTGGCAGATTGCTATTTGTGTTTGAACCATCCAGATCGAACTATTCTGTTACCAATCTTGTTGGGAGTTATGGAGTATTTATAAACTTTCAATGACCAAATGAAAAGCCACTATTGATCCCAAATAGAGGGCTACTCCTGTAAATAAATTGGCGTTTGACTTGGCCTTTAATTTATGTGATTATATCTTCAGTCAGTACTTATGGTTCCAAAAATATGTTCTTTAGTTGTTTCTGCATGTAGCAGTTTTCAATCAGTATTTTTATGATAGAACTCTCTGCAATTTAATGAATCTTCTTCACTTAATAATATCTTGCATTTCGCAGAGTACGCCTACACACTCAAGGTCGACGAGAAGAGTGACGTGTACAGCTTTGGTGTAGTTCTTTTAGAACTTGTAACTGGTCGGAGACCAGTCGGGGAGTTTGGTGATGGTGTCGACATAGTCCAATGGGTTAGGAAAATGACGGATGGGAACAAGGAAGAGGTGCTCAAAATCCTCGACCCAAGACTCCCTTCGGTTCCACTTCACGAGGTGATGCACGTATTCTACGTTGCAATGCTGTGTGTTGAAGAACAAGCTGTTGAACGCCCCACCATGCGTGAAGTTGTACAAATACTCTCTGAGCTGCCTAAACCGCCAAGCAGCAAACCGGGAAACTCAGCCACCACCGAGTCCCCACCACCACCGGTATTGACTTTAGAGTCACCAAAGGACACAAAAGACCATCAGCCTCAGACTCAACCACCACCAGATCTTCTTAGCATTTAAGGGTTCCCTATGGAATTCAGAGTGTTTGTCTTATCCTTTTAGATTTGGCATTTGGTGTTAATTTTCTCTTTTTGGGGGGTGTAATTTGCTTTTAAAGTTTCTCTTAAGGTAGATTTTGGGGGGGTGGCATTTCTATTATTGTACAAATTATCTTCATAATTTGCTCGTGCTTCTTAATATTTTATTATATGCTCTTCTTTTTAGTAGAAATCCGATATGGGGTTTGGTTTATGGATAAATGTGTTTTACTATAAAAATAACAAATTGACCTGGAATAGTAGACTGTCCATGGATTGCTGTGCAGTGGCTTTCAATTACCCAGACTACCTTTCTGGCGTTTTCAAGATTCATTATGAGAAACACAGTGCATGTTTCGCTAAACTTCAAAACATTAATGTAAATAAGTAAATTTTAACTTTTTTGCAGATTTAAGTTTTTCAAGTAAGTTAAGTTATTTTGTAAATGGTAAGGACAAAGAATCTTAATATATCTGTTATGTGCCATATGCCATCTGCCAAACTCAATATGGTTCATCAGAGATTGTGAGAGAATAAGAATATGTTTGGCTTAGCTTTAAAGTAAAGTAAAAAAAACTCTAAAGTGACTTCTTTTTGGGCTTTCTTGAGCACTGTCATAGTGATGCTGTTCAAAAAAAGCTGGCTTCTTTTGCAAAAGAAGGAAAATCAATGTCCCAGTTACTTTCAGACTAAGTAAGTTTTATATTTATGAATAAGAAAATGTATACTTTATTCGAACGTCTGGAAATAAGAATTTACTTAAAAGTACCTTTTTCATAGATCTAAGCTTTAGCCAAACATACAGCAAGGGTCAACAAGAGCTGTTTGCCTTGAAGAGAAGTAAAAGACTCCCTCCTCATTTAAGAAGCTTTCATTAATGAATCTTTGAGAGGACATGGAGCTTGACCTCATGCGAAGGGTATCAATTAATATGTTTTTGATTTTTGGCTTTTCTTGGAGGCAAATAAATGTTTTGATCCTTTTTTTAGTTGGTCTCATGTTTAGCCATTTTCTAGGCACGTGATCACTAGCAAGGTAAAACTTTTCAATAAAGCATTTGAAGTAAAAAAATAATTTTTAAAATTGGATGAATGTGATAACGTCAAATAAAATGTTGTCAACAATGATTTTACATATAGCATGCTTCAAAATTTTTTGATACACCAATAATGTTAAAGAGTAATGTTATTTAGTACTAGTAGTTATTGATGTTATTTAATAAACCTTTTGTTTAATGACATTTAGTACTACCTTAACTAGTGTTATAGAGTAATGATATTTATAATCACTCACTGCGATAGTAGCCTTACGTGGCATTGTACATGGCGATTTGTGATTTGATGTATTAATTTGGTAGTTTTTTCTTATCATGTATATTAAATCATTAACTGTCACATGCGTGCCAAGTAAGGCGACTGTGGTAAAAAGTGACTTCAAATAGTATTTTTCAATATTATAACACCAATGGTATTAAATAACATTATTTTTTACAAAAGTGAGATTTGTATCCTTGATTGAAGATTATGTTCCTCGAGAAAATTGAAACTTGTCGTACCATGATGGATGTTAAGCTGTCTTATTTAAAAGTTTAGTCCATTATAAATTAAATATATACATTCATTATAAAATATTAGGCTTAACGTATACATGTAGATGGAATGCAAGCACCATTTCCATAGAAATCATGATTACATGTATGTTATCAAATTATTTGTTTAAAGTTAGGTGCAAGTTTAATAATTAGTAAGGTGCTTTTTAATCGAAATCGAAAGAATCAAAGCTGAGAATCGATAATCGATCGGGTACGGTTCATGGCTCTTGAACATGAAACTTGGGTACTAAATTCCGGAATCAAGTTTATCATTTTTTATTTATTTTTTACAAACTATTCATCCTTACTCGATGACCTAAACAACAAGTAGCAAGTTTGTAAGACCTAAATAATAAGTACACTTCTTAATCAAATTGATTCATTTAAATAATTAAATTATATGACTCTTGTTCGTATCTACACCTAACTGCACTATCCCCCCAACTCACATATTCTTATTGAGGCGTCACACGTAGATTCATAGCTGGAATTGGATGCTATTTGATGGTGTATTTGCATTGAATCAAGAAAGTGTTTTAAATATGTATTTGGTGACATATTATTTCTTCCATTTTTGTTACATATTGAAACGATAATTAGTATCGTGTACTCACGAGTTTTTTGAAAAAATAACTTTATATTAAGTCACCATTTGTTTTGAACAATTTATAAATTAAGCCTATGCTTGTTTTCAATTATTTTTTTATTAAAATGAAAAATATGATCGTTACCCATCACATCAAGTCATTATATTTGACTTTTTATCTCTTGTACGGAATTCGTAACGATTATATTTTTTATTTTCATTCTTACATTAATGTGGCTCAAACGGGATCTAATAGATAGAAATGAGTAATAATAAATGAATATTACTTCAAAATTCAAAATGTACACTAAAAAATAAAGTTTAATTAAATTTTGAGAGAAGACTTATAAATATTATATTATTGGTTCTCAATCAGGTGAAGCAGGCCTACGTAGTCAGTGTAGGTAGTACTGATATTTTAGTTACACGCATGTCATCTAATAGAGGTAAGGATGTAAAATGATTGGTTGGAAATGTATTCTGATTTGACGGGACAGTATCTGAGATGACTTGGCATGCTCTTAAACGTTGGATTAATGCATTTGGAAGTATTTATATTTGAAACAACAATTGATCTGATTGATGGGATTTGATATGTTGATTATCCCTGGAATAAAAATTCTGAAAACTGTAAGGATTTTTGGAAACTAGCTGTGTTGAAACTCTTGGCTCTAGCAGCAATTAATGCAGTGAAAAGTGTGTGTGTGTGTGTATATATATATATATATTTTTTCCTGAAATATGAGAACTTCTTAAATTTTGAATTTTTTTTTCCTTTTCAATAAACATTTATCAATTTTTTCTCATATATTTTATATTTCAATGAACTATCAATTTAAATAATTTTAGGAGTATAGCATTGAAATTTTTAATTTATTAAATGCGGTCATTATAAAATAAAAATAAAGAGTTAATTTAAAACGTCAAGATCATTCTCTATTTTAAAAAATAAAATGAGGTCTTTTACAGCATTTTAAGAGACTCGGTTATATTTAAAGAACATGTATACAATTAAAGGAGCATTTATAAATTTAGATGGTAAAAATTTTTAAATACTTCAATTGGTTCTTTATTTTTAATACTAAAATTTATTACTCGTAAAAAATATTGATTATTTTTTCTATATTTTAGTTTCATTGGTTTCCCTACAAATCATTAGATTATTTTTTCCTTTATTGAAAATTGAAAAACTTTGAATGTTAATTTAAAGAACCTCTTGAAAATGCTTTTAAAACTTATTTTATATTTAAAATGTCTATTAGGATGCTCCGAATACTTGGAGACACAATTGGATTGATCGATTTTGTCTAATTACAATAATTTGTTAGAAGAAGAGATGATACATTTTATAAAAATTAAATGTTGGACATTATTAGGAGAGATCGTCACCTATTTGTGTGACAATTGGCTTCTTAATTAACTATTAGATGCATTAAAATACACCACAATTTCATTAGACAATTAATCACAGGATCCAATGCCATGTAACAATTGATTTTCTCTTTTCATGGTAATAACGTTATTCTATCAAATATTCGTGCCACTATTTATTTAACAAACAATTTAATAGAATCTGTTGAGAAGATCGTTAAAACTTATGTAAGCATGTGTGGCAAGTCCATATGAGCTTGTGAGGTTATCTTACTTTCGCTTCAATTGCAAATAGGACATTATACTGCAATTTGCAACAACTGAGTCACTTAACTTCAATCTAACCACAAACAACTTACTCGATTTTGGTTGCCATAGATGATGTAACAAATTTAATGATATGAGAGTTAAAACTAACGATTTTTTTCATGTTTCCATCTCAGTAATTAAATTTTGACATGATAGTTTTATCTCAAACATCAATTCATGAAAATGTTTGAATAATTTTCACATTTTTTTAAATATATTAAAACTCAAAAATAATGGTTTATGTCTCTTTTCCAACCTATTTTAAGGACCTTGTCACTCTTAAAAATTGAAGATAAATTATGTTATGCAATGGATTAATTGAATTCATTCACAGTAACTATTCAACTGAGCAAAATTTTAGTACAGTCATCTAATTGATACTAAATGAAAGTATAACTATTGTGAGTGAAATTTACCCGTCAAGATATATATACACTATCTACCGATCACTTTGATTAACCTAAACCTCTCTTGTAGATTGATGTTTATATGCGCTTAATTGCAAGTTGCTTGATTGATAACTATTTTCATAGAGATAAAACTTGAAGTTACCTAGTCTAATGTTACAAAAGAATACCCCCCCCCCCCAAAAAAAAAGAAAGAAAGAAAGAATGATAGGAAAATAAATAAGAAAAGTTACATTTTTAATTTACAAATAAAATATTTAAATAATTTACTCTTTTTTGTTTGAAGTTAAAAAGAATTACTTTTTTCATAAATGATTTTCTAATCTTTCTTTCAAAAAACAATTTTCATTAACGGAAGGAAACTCTTCAATTCGTTCTTGTCGGTGTAACTTAGGATTCTTAAAAAATAGACAGGCATCAATCTTAGATACTTTCCCAGTGGATAATTTTTAATCAGATCAATGCTCACTATGAATTATGCAATACAACTTTCACTTAAAATCTCAATTATTGGCTTATTTATCCGTTGATTAAGCACAAAGGACAAAAGCTTTTCTTCAGCTCAAAAAGTTGAAAAATAATCTATGGAAATTATTCATTCAGCTATCTTTGTCTCTCCTTTTTCTGTTCCCCTGAATTATCCTTTGGTCCCATTCATCTTCTTTCTTTTTCATATTAGAACCCAACTCGAGTAAGATGCATCTCCTTTATCACTGCAATCGGGATCGAAAGAATAGACCGATTAGTTTTAGATTGAATTAAAGAAGAAAGGTATTAAAATTTTATTTGTTTTAAATTTTGATTTCTACGTAATAAACATGGATTTTTGTTTATTTGTGTTCGTGATTAAAATTGTCTCGTAAATATACCACTAGGATGATGCAGCTAGAAGCGGTGAAAATCTAAAGTATATACAAAAGCTCGT